ATCCACAAATCTATTCCATTGTGAAATGGTACAAGGAAGAGACACGGTGTCTTTTTCAAAAAGAGCTGCTGTGTCCTTTTTGTTGCTGTCAGAACAAGGGTTTGAACCAACTAAGCACAAGGGGGCTTTGATAACCAGGCCGAGGTCTCTGGTTGAGTAACACACATGGCTCCAAAAAGACTCAATAATCGGGATGTTAAAAAAAAAACAGATCAACAAGCATGTTCATGACTAGAGCTTTTTGTTCAGGTGACATATCTGGGAGGGGAAACGTGTCCGTAAATGAGTAACCATGATGGTAAGGCCTGGCTGGGAATCTCAGATGACTCAACACTCTAATTACATAGAGGGGGGATAAAAATCAAACCTCCAACTCAGGAAGTAATGTGGATAGATACAATCCTCTAAACTGGTGATGTAATTTGAATTTTTATGGTTTTTCTTAGCGTGAAAATCGAGCCCACTACATCCTGACGCAGTCGTTAAACAGGAAAACTTTGTTTTTTTTTCAAACGAAGTTAAAGAGTAACCAATCCACTTCCCCAGAGAGCCGGTGGTCACCTCTGGTCCGGCTGGAGATGCTCTCTGCTTCGGAAGCCATGCAGTAAGCGTCCCGTGTGTTTTCTGAAGTACTGGATCAGAGTTCTTCGAACGTGGGCCCTATTGACAATATCTGAGAAAGCATCTTCTGGTATATTCCCAATTTTCCTTATAGCACAGTGCTGTGTCTTTGAGCAATCCTTTCTTTATTTCATAAAAGCCACCAGTGACACTTCAGTGGTGAAAGTTGAAGCTTAAACTCTTAAGAAGCACACCGACTTCCCTCCTCTGGAGCCTAACAAGCTCCAGAGGAGATGCAGATCCACCATACAGGTCGGGGACAGGGACGGGGTTTGAATAGGAAAGCAATCGTAAGTAGAGGTTCTACTGTAAAAGCATTTTAAAACTGATTATGTATGGGTAACCAGTGGAGTGTGGGTACAATGGTGAAAATGTGCTCGTGGTTATGGGCACCAGTTAAAAGATGCGCTGCAGCGTTTGGAGCGTCCGGACCCACTAACCCCACTAACCCCCACAATAAGTGCATTACACTAATCCAGCCTTGCAGTCACCAAGGCCTGGATTACTCCGTCAAAGTGGTTTAATTTTGGCCATCTGCCTGAACTGAAAGAAGCTCGGTTTAACAGCTGAACTGATCCCAGAGCCGAGCTTCAGGTCGGCGTCCATTTTTACCACGAGTTTTTGCGGTGGTTGGTTTAAGAAACCGGGCTATGGTTCCCAGACAACCCATGAGCGAGGAGCCAGGGATGCCACCCAAAACCATCGCCTGAGTCTTTTTATCTCTAATGGTCAAACAGCTGAAAGCATACCAGTTTACCCAAGCCAGTGAGCACGCCCTTAGTCAGACTGGCTTTAGTTATCTGCCATTCAGAATGGAGGAAAAAGTCCTGGCTGGGGCCACTGATTCATAGCTGGAAAAATTCAGATTTTTCTTGGCTTTAAGATATTGGCCTCCCTTGAGTTCGTCCTAAATGTGACCATGTACATGAGAAACCTTACGATTGCCTAAACATGCAAATTGTCCAACATCCGAAGTGAAATTCGATCAAATATTAAACTCGACACCCGCAATAAATGTCCAACATGACGTTGTATGAAGTCGTAAAAAAAAAGTAATAAAAATAAATAAGCTAAGTCAGTTTAAAGTTCACGTAGTGAAAGTTAGAGTAAGTTATAGTACGTGCTGGATCTCAGTCACCACCTCTACCTCCTTTCGCCAATAAAAATCCCTTTTTATTGATCATTTCTTTATCATTTATTTCTTTTTACATCTCTTATATAATGAATTTGTTTTATTGCTATGTGTAATTATCTGCAGTATTTATTAAGGAGTTATCGTAGGTTTTTGGGCTGTGGAACGAATTACACAAATGAGTGTATTCTTATGGGAATATTTGAACCAACATACAAAGCAGGTCCCTGAATGAATTAATGAATTATTTAGACAAGCTCCAAATGGGCAGGCAAGTAACACATACCGGAGTATACACAGACCCACCTGGCCGAGACGAGGTCCAGTCAAACGGAACCTGTCTGAGGAACGACGCTGCCCAAAGGTGTGTGAGCATCAGCGGATCAGGCCGGGAGCTGTGGCGGTTTGCCTACGATCTCTTCTTTTTAGCATAGGATACACCAGCTCATTCTTCTTTTTTTTAACCATGGCCCTAGTACCGTGCTATGCTGAATATATTTGCTTTGCCAAAGGGAGGTTTTGTTGGTGAGAAGCCGCCCCCTCGGCTATCCAAGGCTGCTTTACTTATTTATTTTTGTTGAAAAACCTGACAGGGGTCAGTGAAGAAGAAGGAAGAGCAAAAAAATATAAACTACCCCTAAAAGGAAAAAGACCCTTTAGACCAGGGGTGTCATACTCCAGTCCTCTTTGGACGCTGACCAGCAGGTTTTGGAGGTTTCCCTGTTTCAACACACCCGAGTAACATCGTAGAGCCTCTAGCAGGCCTAAACATGAGCTAAACAATGTCCAGAGGAGATCTAATGGAGTCAGAATCAGGTGTGCAGAAGCAGGAAAATGTCTAAAACTTGCAGGACAGCGGCCCAAAGTGGACTGGAGTTTGAAACCCCTGGTTTAGACAGAAAAAGAAAAAAAGAAAGACAGAAAAACCGTACAGAGTGCCCCTGGACCCAGTCCACCATCAGACAGGGGTGGGACCTAAGTTGTCCCTGCTTTGTGATTGGATTAAAATTAAAAGGGACGTGTATTGAATCTGCATCTGAACATCAGCATCAGAAACAACATCAGTTGTGGATAGGAACCAGAGCATTGGTTTCCATCTTTATTGACAGCTCCAGCCATGTCGAAACCAACAGACAAATGCATGAATCACTGAAGGGCGTCGGGTTTCTCCCGAGCCAGGTATCGGACAGACGGTCATCGTTTAGCCTTACTTGTTTCTTTGAGTAAACGGCAAAGCATTTTGTACAGCTGGGAGCCAAATGCCGCATCGTGATTCGTTATCGTAGACGTGACACCGGGTGGTGGGTTGGCATAACTCAGTCAGAAGAGGCACTCGGCAGGGACAGCCAGAAAGTCATCTGCGGGCCTTCCTGGTCCCGGTTCCATGGAGACCGGCTCGGTGGCCTCTGCAAATCTTCCTGTCCGTCATCTAAAGACGAGACTTGTGTGGCAACTCGTCCGTGATGGAGCGGTTACTGAGCGGGTCTGTGCTGCCCCTCCGCTGGGGGACCACTTAACCCATGTTCTTGCGGTTTCCGTAACCTCTGGGGTGATCCTCCTTCCAGTCGTCCCACTCCCTGGCCTTTCGCAGAGCCTCCTCGTCGTCGTTTTCGACCCGCTTCTCTTTTTCTTCCTCCTCCCGGTCCTGGGGGTCGGCGTCCTCCTCCCCCTCGGCGGCGGCGGCGGCGGCCCTCCTGGGGATGCCCTGGTCGGGCAGAGCGCCGCGCTTTGCGTGCTGCTCGTACCAGTCGTCCACCGTCATGGTGGCGAGGCTGGGGTAGCCCGCCCCGAACACCTGAGCCTGCGGACAGAGAGACGAGCATTACGTGACACGCGGAGACAAAGCGGGCTCGTGTCCCGTGACTGGGGGCCGACCACCTGTAAGGAGGCGACTGTCAGCCCGACTTAAAGGGACATTGTGTAGCATTGAGTATTTTATTAGCTAAAATCATTTTCTTCATTTATTAATGTGTCCTCATTTGGTGTAAAATTACTTGTGTAATGATGTGACTTCTCCTCATAAACAAAGAATTTAATATCTGTATGTACACATGACGGGTAAGTCTATGGAGGTTTCCATGGCGTTCCGCCATTTTGAAAAAACTATAATGTCAGATAGGGACATAAAGCACTAGTCTACCTGTCTAGCTAATCCACAATGCATTTTACTTCAGAGCCAGTCACCTGACTGAAATTTATTTTAAATTTAATGATTTTTTAATTGATTAAATTCAGTAATTTTTTTTAAATGATAAAACTTCATCACCCGAGAGAAAACTGGATGATGTGGAAGTCATGTTGTCATTACTTCCTGGTCCCCCGGAGCCTGCGTGTTCAGTGTCCGTCTAAGCAGAGGACGTGGTGCCTGTGCACCCCCATGTTCATGCTGAAAAGTCTTGTTTATTTTCTTATTTTCAAAAGCTTTGATCTATTCAGGCTACGGACAGAACGGCTATTTCCACTTGACACAAAACGCCTCATTGTTGTGGGTGTGTTACATCTCACATGAGATGTTGAGATGAGTGTACTGCTGCCGAATGAGAACAGAAGGAGGACTGTGTCCTGATTTACCAACATTATCATTGAATCACACATACTTAGCACTTTTTTTTCCAAAATTCTATACATTTTCTTATGGACCTTGCAGCTGGGCCAGGAGTGGGATCAGAGGAACTCGTCTGATTCCACCTCATATTAAACGTATATATATATATTCTACTTTGTAAGTGGCTTTGGATAAAAGTGTTTACTAAATACATAAACAAACAAACCAAAAAACTCCTTGAATCCAATAGGTGACTCAGCATAACAGACCTATGGCTGGCATTAAGGACTGTGTAAAGCCTTTTAGATGACAGTAGCCAGATATATAAATCACCCACATTGGTCCAGTGACCTAGACAGAGAAACCAAAACACAGTGGCATGTGCACACGGACTGTTTTTTTTTATGTCCAGCCCCCACAGAGACCTGGAGAAACCAACCACACTCAGAAGTCACAAAACAAACACAGTTGTGCCTGCCTGTGAGCAGTCAAATGGCGCTTTTCCACCCGCACGCCTCTGCGCTGAATATTTCTAATTTCAGAACACGTCGGTTTCCCCTGAAGCACAACAGCATTGTGGCATATGTCGGGTGGCAAA